GAAAGCTGAGCTGGACAGCCATTGTACGGTCTGGTCTGGCACATGCACAGAAACTGCACTCCAGATTACATATTAAAGCACTAATTACCCAAATGAAACTCTGGGGGCACCTTAGGTAGATACAGTACAGCGAATTATGGAAGGAAATAATCAGTTACAATTACAGAAACTCACTCAACCCAAAGTGAAAGAATGCACACAGCCTACTTCCTGCCAGAGCCTTACCAACGGTATAAGAAATGCAAAAGATAAACAAGATTCCTAAAAATGAGTCAGAAAGGGACAAATGCCAATCTTAAGTTACAAAAATGACTTTATTTAAGTTATTTTTCTGTTCCTATGTACTACATGGTCAAATAACATTAAGACGATTTATTATGAATTCGCACTATGACAAACCAACTTTTAAGCATTTTCTTAACAATCTTAAAGGTTTTGCCAGCCTTTGACACCATCTGAACACGTACAAACACTGAGAATAAACAGGTGGCAGAAGGAAAACTGAGTGAGCACATAAGGCATGGAGCTCCCACTCCTGTAAATTAAATCGTCCATTAAAGAGGCAGAAAAAGGTGGGAGAGAGAAGAAAGGCTTCTGGAAGGAAGAAGCAAATTTACACCGTATTAAAAACCAGGCCCAGGAAGTGTTAGTTAACATGGCCAAGAAAGTAAGTTGTCCGAAGTTAACGTATCTCTTTTCAAGGTTTTCTGATTAAAAAAAAATATTCCTTGGGGCAGGGAGAGACTCTCCTCCATCTCCCCCAAATGAATTTAAGGATATTACTAGTGAATAACTCTGGGAAGATGGAGTAAGAGTGGATCCCTAGTTAGGAAGGCTGGTGGGAAATGGTAACAGATTTTCCACTGGGGCCCAACTGAAAAACTCATGGCAGATCTGGTGAAGACTATTCAGGATTCCTTACAAGGTTTCTACACAGACAAGCAAAGGTGAGGAAATCTTTAGCACATCTCCTCATTAACAACGATGCTGTTTCACTAATTTGCTTTGCTAACTTCAGTTAGTATGAAACCCTATTATCCTGAGTTATTAAAGACCTTGCCAAAAATGCGAACTGTTTGAATAGTATTATTGTGTTCAGGATTCACGGGAGGGTGAGGATGTTAATTGAATCTTCATCTCCAAAAACAAGTGGAATTATATGTGCATACTGGGTTTGTTTCATCTGTCGCTACCAAGTATGCTAACAGTTTTCATAAGGATAGATCAGGAATGTTCCCTGTTTAAATAAATATATCATTACTGTTGATCAGGTATTTGGCATGAAATTAGGTGACAAAAGAAAACAAACTACTTAAACAATGGATTTTTTTTATAGAAAAAAAAACAATGGAAATCTTCTTGGCAAAAATGTTAACAAGAGAAATATTTTTTTCTTTGCTTTCTTAATATCAGAAATCATGAAATAGCATATTGATAAAACTTGGACTTTCCTTACCTCAAGGAATATTCCAGGTTGTTTAAGCCCCTTTCCACAAAGACGGCTTGAGAGCCAGGTAAATAGGCACCTCTAAATGAACGGAACACTCCTAGCAGGCATATTTCCCATGCCTTTCTGAAAAAGTAATGCCTGCCATGTAAGAACAGGTGTAAATTGTAAGAATTCATTAAAACAGCTGGGAAATACAATGTCAGGGAAAGCGGTGGGAAATGATAAAAATTTATAATTGTGAATAATAGATTTCTTTGTATCAAAACTCCTTTTTATTAAAGTGCTATGTTAAAACAAAACAAAGCAAATAAAACCCAACGCATAATAAGAAAACACAACAGCTTTCTGATGTGGTCGTCTTAGGTGGGTTCCATTGGAGTATACTTACTTAAGGGTTCTCAACCCGATCATTACTAAACAATTTCTTGTTCTGTGCTTAACCTTTAAAGCTTACCAAAAGCTCACCCATCTATCATGAGCTTCAAGCAGTCACAGGAGTTAACAATGCATATGGTGCTTTTATGTTTATGTGAGCAGGTTCTCATGAATCCTACAGAGATTAGAGAACTACAGCTAGTTGTTCCTTTTTAGCAAGAGCGCTTCTATGCGTAAAATACAGAAAGTGATTAGATAAAATACCCCTTTACACTGAGCTGATTGGTTAAAGAACTTTAGAAAAGTCAGAAGTTCATTTACCTGAGTTTCCCATTTAAAGGCTAATTAGTAATTGAATACTTTTTCCTGAAAGTGAACAAAAACTTATGGTATTAAAAAGGGCCAGAGTCAGAAAACATAGACTCAAAATTAAGATTGAGACTTTTGCATTTTTATAAAACCTAATAAGAACATTTGTGAATTTTCCTTCTTAGTTAAAACACATAGTCATACAATTATACTGGTTTATAGGATGTTATCAAAACTTAGGTTGGGGGTCATTTTGCAAAATCGTTAGAAGAAATCAAATTCTTTTGAAATTTTGGGCAAATTGCTACAAATGATAATAAAAATGAGTTTTCTTCAGTTATGATTCTACAGGAGATTATTAGTTAACACCAGATAAAGACTTCAGCATAAATATGATTTCTAACCTGAATATATCCCTTTTAAAGGGTGGTATAGAAAATAACCATAAATTTTATCCAGAAAATAGTGTACCCAGTGTTTTGCCAACAGTTAGCTAAGCTTACCTTTCAATAGGGCATTTTTGTCAAGTTCAAGCACAGCAATCTGCCAACAAATTCTTTAAAACAGGGCTGTTTTTAAATATAGCACATAGTTCATACTCAGGATCCCAGCAATAATCTGGAATTAAATATTTTATCATATAAGAACTATAACCATGTTACTATTTCAAACATATTATTTCAATCACAGGTCTAAATGTTATATTGACTATACAAAATCATCCTTCTTAAATTTTAACATAGTGCAGAAACTCTGAAGCACTTTGGTCTCAATGATTAGATTACTAAACACATGAAATTCATCTTTTCCATAATCCTTCACCCCGTGATGTAACTTAAAATTTAAAACACAGTTGAAGTACATCTCTCTGCTGAGTAGTTCCTATTGTGGCCTTCTGTACCCTTGGTATGACTCAAAGCAGCATTGGGCAAATTCAGCAGGTTCAAGGAACAAGTTTTAAAAATAGCACTTTGAAATCCAAAATCATCTGCCTACTTCCTTTCATTGTAAGTCACAAAACTTCCTTAGATCGCTCTAGGGCTCAGAAAATGGTTAATGTGAATTTGCTGTATAAAACAAGGTTTCTGTGAGCAGTAGCACTGGTCCTGGATAGAGGGTACAAATAGCATATTTCATTTGCCTCTTCTACATACAATAGTGAAATATTTTACCCAAGAGCCCATACTATGTTGGATTTTAAGTACAAAGCTCTGCTGACAATCAGGCAAAAATGATTGCTAAGTGACACCACTTAGCAATTTATTCATACTTTTAAAAAAAGTTAACAGAGCTATTTTAGATGAGATACATAGTTTAAGTCAGATAGCAGACAGAGTTCCCATGCTCCCACTAGCATTTACAGCAAAGGCAGGCTTGAGGGAAACCAGTTACTATACAGTTGTTCCTTGGTAGCTGTGGGGGATTGGTTCTGTGACCTTCTCAGACACCCAAATCTGAGTATGCTCAAGTCCCTGATACAAAATGTTGTAGTATTTGCATATAACCTATGCATCCTCTTATATACTTTAAATCATCTCTAGATTACTTACAATGTAAATTCCATGCTAATAATTGTTACATTGTAGTGTTCAGGAAATAATAAGATGGTCTGTACATGTTCAGTACAGACATAATTTTCGCTCAGAATATTTTTGATCCATAATCAGTTGACTCACAGAAGTGGAACCCATGAATGTGGAGGGCTGACTATACATAAATGGATTATTTTGTCCAACAGACAGAATGGGAATAGATTGCTACTGCCACAGTGCCCTGAGCATTGAGGGGGCCTGAGTGGAGCACACCAGCTCTTTGGTAGGGTGCTTTAGTAGTGAAATGTTTTCCATCTGATGCAGCCACATATCAAGATATCAAAGATGATTAAATTACTTTAAAACAGGCTTCTAATTCCATGATTTTTAAATTTAATTACCTATTAGGACTTTTTTTTTTTTTTTAGAGAGAGAGTCTCACTCTGTTGTCCTTGGTAGCGTGCCATGGCGTCACAGCTCACAGTGACCTCCAACTCCTGGGCTCAGGTGATTCTCTTGCCTCAGCCTCCTGAGCAGCTGGGACTACAGGTGCCTGCCACAATGCCCAGCTATTTTTTGTTGCAGTTTGAACCCGGGGCCGGGTTCAAACCTGCCACCCTTGGTATATGGGGGTGGCACCCTACCCACTGAGCCATAGGTACTGCCCTACCTATTAGGATATTAAAATAAATCTAGGTTCATGAAGGTCATTCACCAGCACTATATAGCAGTATTGAGATTAAAGGTAGGAGGGACACTCAGTCTTTACTTTTGAAATTTTAAAAAATGTGCTAAAAACGTTAATCAGTTACATTATAAACGACCAATTCAAGTATGCCAGCCAGTAAAGATTATTTTTGTCACCCACTTAGAAAAAAAGTCTTGCCTAAGGATAACTATAGATGCCAGGTAAACTAATACGATTGATGATTCTGTTGGAGGTAAGGAGAAAATAATACCCCATGACAGTGAGTGCACTTTTGTGAGTTATATTCCAGAAAGTGTGTTCTGTAGAATAAAGGACTTGGCCACTGAAGAAGGCAGCTGGTATTCAAATACTTAGCACAGATTCCTTGGTATACACACAGTGAAAACACAAAAATGAGAACCCTACACAGGTGTAAACAAGCTAAAAACGACCCTGGCAAAATATTTTCCTCTATTTAAAAAAAAAAAAATACCCAAAGCATGCAAGTTAATAATTCCCTCCTCTTTCACAAGAATGAACTGAAAACCAAAAATGAAAACAAAAAAACAGATGGAACCATCTGTGTCTGTCAGTAGAAAACAAGAATAGATACGTTAGGTTCCAAGACAAATAAAACTTTAAAATATTAATATTGAAAAAATACAATTAAATTTTTATTAAAAAATACATACTCCTTACTCAATCTTTGTGTACATTTTGCTTTGTGTGAAAACGGAAATAAAAATAAAAATAAAATAGGAAAGGCATTAAGACTACCTAATTATTCAGACTGTATTTGGTAGAAGCGTGTGTCAGTCAAAACTCTGACGAAAAATAAGTTATTCTGTTTTCATTTGCTCCCGGACATCAGAAGGCAGAGTTTCAAACAGAGCGTCTTCCACAACCAAACCAGCTCGTTTCAGAGCCCGACAGTCACCCAGTTCAGGAGGGAGGATTTCAAAGTGGTTGCCTTTAACGTCTAGGTAGGAAAGGAATGGTAAATTTCCAATTTTCGGCGAAAGTACAGATAGACTGTTTTTCCCAATCTTCAGGGTTTTCAGTTTCTTGCAGAAGTAGAGTTCATCGGGAAGGTTTTCTACTTTGTTACAAGTGATGGAAAAATACTGTAAACTTTGTAGAACTCCGATTTCGGGTGGGATAAAGCGAATGTCATTGTAGGATAAGTCCAAGTATCGGATCTTGTTGCATAGGAAGAGGTGGGAGGGCAGCACCTCTATTTTGTTATGACTGAAGGACAGGCGCTCCAGGCTGGTGAGTTTCTTTATGTGCTCTGGGATGTAGGTGATGCTGTTATGCCACAACTTCAGCACTGTCAGCTTCCTCAAGTGCTGAAAGCTGACGATCTCTTCTATCGATTTCAGATTATTTTCCTTCAGGTCCAATTCCTGGAGGCTGAGCAGGCTGAATACGGCGTGGGGAATCCGCTCCAGGTCGCAGTGGACCAGTTCCAGCTCTGTGAGGTTGGTCATCTTCTTCAAGTTGTTTAGCATCACCAGCTTGGTGCCATCGTTGTGGATGCACATCTTCTGGAGATGGCTGGAAACGTCCACCACTGCCTGAGGGATTTTGGAAACGTTGCTTTTGATAGAGAGAATTTTAAGGCTTTTGAGATCCCGCAGCGACTCGAGGGTGACGTTTTTGGAAATATCATGACTTAGAGAGCCCACCAAGTAGAGCTCTTCCAGATTCCGCAGTCCATACATCCAGGGGGGCAGCTCTCTCATGTCATCGAACTTGACGCTCAAGACTTTGAGGTTTTCTTTCAGGAAAGAGAGGGCTGCACTGTGGATTTTGACAGAGCACTGGTGCAGAGAGAGCTCTTGGAGATTGTCCAGCTGCGCGATGGTGGCTGGTATCATTACGTTCTTGATGATTTCGAGTTTTAGAGATTGTAGCTCTGTGATTTCAAAAACAGTGTCTGGAAGGCCCGAGAGCATGATAAGAGGCAATTCCAGTCGATTGTGGGCATTTGTCTGGAGCTTCTGCCTCAGTTTATCAGGAGTCCACTCATTATTCAAGTTCAGCTGCTTTAATTTGTTTTCACTGACTTCAGACAGGAACACGGCAAATCTCTTGGAATAGAGAGGGTCATATTGGTCTATCATGTGAAGCATAAAAGCAAAGTCATTTTTCACATCTGGAATATCATCAATCCCAGTCTCCTGTCGGACATACTCAAAAGAATATTCCCTTAGAGAACGATAGAACAGCCAGTACAAGGTATAAAGGCACGTCAGTCCGTAGATACTAACAAAGCACAGGTAGCAAAAGGAGAGTTTGGAGAACAAGTGTGCCATGGTATGATTGCAAGAGAAGTTTTTATACCCAGTCATGTCTTGAATGTCAACATTACAGTCCACTGTGAACTGGACTTTGGAAACCAGAGCGCTATTATATGCAATGATGATTAGGAATTTGATAACCTTGAGTACAGTCTGGCGAACATACATGGCGTATAGAATATCACCTTCTTCCACGTGCAGCCTGAACTTCTTCACCTTCTCGAATAAGGCCTTTGCTTGCTCACCTTCCTTTTTATCCAGAGCCCCGGCGGTGGATTTGTCAACCACAAACTTCTCGGGAATGGACTTTAGAGACTGAGAGTTGACCAGGCTGCCTTCTGGACCAGACTGGATGGTGTTGGACTTGCTCAGGTTGTTCTTCCGGTTGTCCTTTTCTTCGGAGTCCTCCCCGGACACTTCAGATAAAGCCCGTGTGGTCCAAGGAGAGTCAAAACATTTCCCCAGGATGGAGATGAAGTGCTCTATTTTGGAGCTGGAGCCAGGGAATTTAAACCAGAAGTTGCTGCAGAGCATGAAGACCAAGGTATGGATGAGAACGAGGTAAGGGAAGTACTTGGCGTACCAGTGGAGGGCTCGCTCGTAACACATCTGGTTTATGAAGCTGTACTGCTGAAGGTCCAGATCTGTCTTCAGTCCCTTCATTTCCACAGTGGTGGGGTTAGCAGGAGATGGTCTAGGTGGAGGGAGTGGGGTAGTACTGGCAACTGCTTGAGAGACGTTTGAGATGGAAGAGTGGTTCTGAGCAGGCTGCACTCTTTTCGGAAGACAGATTATTTTGTCTTGCATGACCTGAAACACAGAAATAATATTTTCAAATTATATTACTCAAAGAGCTTTCTTAACGTCATTAGTGAGACGAAAACAGCAATAACATCCAATAAATGTCCATCTCCTCTGCCTGGAGAGTACAACGTCCAGCATCAAGATCTTATTCTTAGCCCCCATGCTGGGAAAATGACTTTGTTCATCATGTCTCAGTTATGACATAAAACAGTGGTTTTATCAGGCCAGACAATAATTCACAACAAAGTAAATATTTAGAGAACATTCCTGTGTTTTTTAAAAATAGCATTTCTTCTCTCATTGGAGTCTGGGAGAATCAGTCACTGGTCTGGGAAATGTATCACCTTACCAGACTCAATCCTGAATGGGATATCTCCCAACCAGTTCATATATGAGAAGTAAAAGGATGAGAAGGAAGAAATTTAAAAGAAATTCCTTTTTTGTTTTCCCTTTTCTGTCTACCGATATCCTAAAAGACACGCATTGATCAATATGAATGGCTTTAATGTGATGGGAATTTTACTTAGATCTTAGAAAAAAACCTCCATGTCCTGAGAGAGAGAGAGAATACAAGTGTTTAAAAGTAAACCAATTAGTCCGAATTTGCTATCTTTTCACACAATATATTACATTGAGAACCACTATCCTTCTATCAATGCTTTGATATGTTGAAAAGAATAGTGAGCAGAAGAACATCCAGCAGACTCTTAAGACTGCAACTTGGGAAGGAGAAAATGCACCCTTTTTGAAGATGAGGTAGAATGAGGTAGAATATACTTTGAATCAAACCAGAGGACTCATGTCTAGGAAGAGGCTCATGTAAGTGGAACTGTATGAACAATAAACCAGCAGGTCAAAGGGAGGACAGGAAGCAGAGAGCACACAGCAACGGCATTGGAATTAGTAATGCAGGGAAGGCCTATTTGTACTTTAAAATACCAAATGGCCGGAAATCCAGTGTTTGGTGATTCTTCAACAGCAACGTGTTTAATGATTTTGCACCATCAAAACTTTTATATTGATTGTAAAGTAGAAAGTGAACCCACTGCAAAGTGGATGGCTATGGTGTGGCAATGGGACAATATGCTGATGACACAGGACTAACAACTCACTGCACAGAAGCACACGTTGACAACGGAGTGAAGCATCCGGCACTTTGTAAAGTGCCTGGTACGTGAGAAACCACCAGGATATATTTTCTGAGAAAATCAGTGAACATCCACTACTCCTTCTAGGCCAGCGTTGTATTGGTCTGGGGGTGGAGGACACCTCTCCCGGGAATATAGATAGTGTTTATAGTGATGACAGTGGCAGACTCCATTCTCATAATGTCATGGGTATTGATTCTTATAACAGCCATTTTCATCTGGTTGAATAAGGTACTCTTATTAATCTGGTTAATAATAAAGTACTCTTATTATTACTATTTAAGGTGAGGAGACTGAGGCATGGACTCAGGTTAAGTCACTTGCCTCATGTCATCTGTCCCAGGATCACCTGGACTTAAGGCCCACATTTTTATTTTATTTTACTAAATGTCCGGGATTAAACCAAAAGGATCCCAATTTGACTTTACCCTAAATAACAAGTTATCTTACATACATAAGTCATGTCTTAGGGGAAAAGTTCACTGCTCGTCATGTTCTATGCAGATAATAAAAAATGAGGTTAGGGGAAGAGAGGAAGTTTCCTTATAAGATTTATAAAGTTTGGTCCTGGAAGAGAAATTAGGGACAACTCTTTATTATTTAAGTTAAAAGAATACAAGGCAGAACAACACGTGGGATTCTATTTAGAGGGGGCAGAGATGTGAGAATGGAGCTGTGGTCTTTAACTAATTTTATTACTTGCCCATATCAAGTGGGGTTGAGCACGCCCACCCTAGTATCTGTATGTCTACTTATAGTTACTGTATATTCTTATCAATATGTAAAATATTTTAAAAGTTAATCTCCTTTTTAAGTCTAAACTAAATATAATGAACATTTTCATTTTTATTCACATTTTAATGGAGCATCCATCATATTTCTTGGCGGGGGGGGGTCAAGCATGCCACTTTGGAAACTGTTAGCACAGAAAACAGTAAGCAAAAGCCTGAACGAATGCCAGAATATCTTGAAGGAACATAAAAGAAAAGCAACTCAAAAATTCTCTCTTTGGGATCATGTCCCAGGCGCTTTCCCATTCATGGTTTCATTTAATGCTCCAACAACCTGTGATGTTGACAGAGGGTGGGGCCAGAGACCAGCAGGGAAAAGGAATGTGCTTCTTTGAGCCAAAGAAGTGATACTATTCTCCAAAGTGCTACCCTTGAACTAATACATTAACATGACATTGTTATGATGTGATGAAAATAGAGAAGAATAAGGGTAAAAGCAAGATTAGTTAGAAGGTGAAAAGGAAGGCACCAACTTAAAGTGCTGACTCCCTGCCAAACAACCAGGTGGGCCCCAGTAATGTCCCCTTGCCCATCCCCTCTCCCTGCTTGCTCCTAGCAGCCTGAGTATGGCAGGCATCTGGGGCATGGCTGCTTTATATGATTTCAGGCTGTGCACTGTATATCAGTGTACCAGGGTTCAAGTTGAAGGCTGAAATCTAGCCTGTCCACCTCTCATTCAGCTGTGTGTACTTGGGGTTATGTATGCATAGTTGGGAGTAGCTTTTTATATTTTGCATAAGAACACCTGATTGGCAAGGTCTGCCATGCTGGAGAGGTAAGTCATATTCTCTCTCCATTCTTTTTTTTTTTTTTTTTTTTTGAGACAGAGTCTCACTTTATCGCCCTTGGTAGAGTGCCATGCCTCCAACTCCTGGGCTTAGGCGATTCTCTTGACTCAGCCTCCTGAGTAGCTGGGACTATGGGTACTCACCACAACGCCTGGCTATATTTTTGTTGCAATTTGGCTGGGACTGGGTTTGAACCCGCCACCCTTGGTATATAGGGCTGGTGCCTTGCTCACTGAGCCACAGGCACCACCCTTCTCTCTCCATTCTACAGAAGAAACTAACCAAGGTTCAGAAGAGTTAAATGGCCTGCAAAGTTCACATAAGCTAGGACATGGTAGAAGAGGAATTGAAATCTTTCGTTTCTAGCTTAATGTTCTTCCCCCACCCTTACCTCTGCTCCATTTTTCTCATTTCTCCAAGGTTCTGCTAGGATGGCTTGACAGAGAGCAGTCCAGTGAGGAGGGTTACAAAGACAATCTCCAGACACCACTTTTAGTCCTCTGATTTTATATTTCTCTTTCACTCTTTAAGAAGATATAATTTCTGAAATGTGCCTACTCATATTCCAGGAGGGTAAAGACAGCGATCTATTTAATTACTCAGAAATAAGCACTGAGTAGGAAAAAAATTTACTGGAATGGAATCATCACGAGCAGTAGCTGCTCAGGTCGCTGAGGGAACTTATCACTAGAGAGGTAGCCACAAGCAGAATTCCAAAAGAATGTGTGGGCAGGCTGTTGAATGCAGGACTACTCAGAGAAACAGCCAGGTTAGGGAGTCCCACAGTAAACAATATGAAGATTCAAAATAGCTACAGGAGAGAGGAGATAAGTTATCCTCCCTGTTGATTAGAAACAGTATTTCTGAACACTGCAACATTGGGAAGAAGTGAGAGAAGGATCAGTATTTTCAAAGTTATATTCAGGAAGAGAAAGAAGATAGAAAAAAAAAAAAAGTAGGCTCGGCGCCTGTGGCTCAAGTGGCTAAGGCACCAGCCACATACACCTAAGG